ATAAATTAATAAATTCAATAAATCTATGAATACTGGAACATAAATGTATTCCATTCAAAGTTCTTTCCAGGTTACAACAGACAGCAAACTGACTTTTTAATTTCCTTACTCTCCATCATTTTTCCCCCTACTCGGAATATAACCTGTTGCTTTGTGACGAAAATAACTTCACACTCACTCACTCACTCACTCACTCACTCACACACTCACTCACTCACTCACTCACTCAGTCACTCACTCACTCACTCACTCACTCACTCACTCACTCACTCATTCACACACAACATATACACACACGTACACCCACACAGACAGACACACACAGACACTTGTTTACACACACACTCATATACACACAAAATATATACACACATGTATATATTTTATACACATTCATATACACAGACATACACGTACTACTTTTTAACACACGTACAGACATACTTCATGTTTGTATTTGCTCTGGTATATTTGTATTTGCATACTTGTATTTTTTTGTATTTGTATAGTAGTATTTTTTGTATTTTTGTACATTCGTGTTTGTATTAATTTTTGTATAAGAGTAATTATTTTGTTATCAATCTTTTTTTAATTATTTGTATATACGTGCTTGTAATGTCGAAAATTAAATCGCAAATATAAACCTTCCTACCTATCTATCTAACTGTATATCTCCACCTATCCATCTGTTTATCTATCTATTTATCTATCTATCTATCTATCTATCTATCTATCTATCTATCTATCTATCTATCTATCTATCTATCTATCTATCTATCTATCTATCTATCTATCTATCTATCTATCTATCTATCTATCTATCTATCTATCTATCTATCTATCTATCTATCTATCTATCTATCTATCTATCTATCTATCTATCTATCTATCTATCTATCTATCTATCTATCTATCTATCTATCTATCTATCTATCTATCTATCTATCTATCTATCTATCTATCTATCTATCTATCTATCTATCTATCTATCTATCTATCTATCTATCTATCTATCTATCTATCTATCTATCTATCTATCTATCTATCTATCTATCTATCTATCTATCCACCAATTATAAATAGGCGCGTGTGCTTATTTTAATTTATCTAGGTATTAATGCGTCTCAATAAGCATACCTGTAGCATATGCACCCGTGAGTATCTTAATTTGTCGGCGTATTACCTGGTATTTGCCTATAGGTATGAAATTAGTTTGAAATGAGTGTATGTTTTTGTGGTGTTTAAGTGTGTATGTGTGTATGTACGGGCGCGTATGTTTGTGTGTGTTTGTTGCTGTGTGTGTGTGTTGTGTGTGAGTGCGTGCATGCGTTGTGTGAATGCGTGTCAGTGTGTTGTGTGTGCGCGTGCGTGTCAGTGTGCTCATCTTGGTTGATAATATCACCTATGTGTAGGATACATTTTCAGTGCTGGCATTGGTACCGGAGATACTCTTGACATTTATTAGTATCGAATTTGATATTGGCAATACTTTTTAGATAGTAACAACCAATACTTGATACTTAGATGAAATCTGTTTATTTTTTTTATAGTACCGTTAAGAAAATACAAAAGTATTTGTATTGAGTAGGGTTGGGAATACATACAAAAATGAGTATCGGTGATACATTTTAAAACCGGTATTTGCATCGGTATTGGCTATACAAAACTTGAGTGTTGTTATCAGCCCTGGAATTTCTCGTGTTGCAATATATTTTTTTATTTTTTTTTTGTTCTTATGTTATGTTATTGTTATTCTAGTTCGAATGATGCTGCGTTACATCACGCCATGCTTTTGTTTCCTGCACACCTTTCGAAATAGGTGAAAAAACGTAAAGAATAAAAATAGGCAGGCACAAAAATACCTCATTTTATGAGCACATTTACACACAAAAAACCAGCATTCAATCAATAAATACCTATTTTAATTAGGACCCAGGTAGAGCCACACCCATTCCATCATACACAAACTAAACACGACTGCGATATATACAAGATATATATAATTATTCACACAAATACTGTTACACACACTCACACACACACACACACACACACACATACAAACGTACACATACATAATCAGGTACACATACATAAATATTTCCGCTAACCAGCAAGATGTAAAATACATAAATTGCGGCTCAGGTTAACGCAAGAATACCTACGTATATACTAACCAATATACCTACATATGAACTAAGATAGGTGCACGCGTGTGTACATATGGCCGCACACACGCACATCTCTTTAGTACTCTATGTATGCACGCATATACACGTGCGTGCTTAGTAAATGTACGTACATACTTGCGTACACTCATTTTGTGTGCATAGACATAAATAATGACTAAAATAACCAGATCGTAAAATTGGGTCATAAGAAGGCAAAAACAACATTGCGTTACTTGCGGTGAATTTTAACTCGTTATGCGCGAGTGCGTGTGTACATTTATTCATACTCTCTATTTATTCATACTCTCTATTTATGTACGTTGACGCTTGACGCATTCATGCCGTGGGTATGCTCCAATATGCATCGGTATTCTGTTTACGTTACCCTTCTTTATATGTACCTTGGGTATATTTATATTCCAAGTCCTATATAATATTTGCTTGTGATATTTCGTCTGCGGATGTGCGTTAACATTACGTGCAAGAACAATACTTGCATTGTGCACAACAAATATTTATAGGATGTTGAAGATGTACGCCATGAAGTGCACGCACGTGTTCACGCACGAATGTAAGCAGGCAGGCAGATGAGTACATTGATAGTGGTTTGAATAGGTGCGCTGTACTTGCCTGGAAGGATGCAAGCGTGGGAACAAGAAATCAGGAACATACATGAGATGAAAAAGCTAATGATACGAACGAACGAACGAACAACAGGATGAACAAAGTTACATATGGATAGGGATGAATGAACTTATTTTAAAAAGTGAACAAATGAACAAACAAACGAACGAACGAACAAATCAACAGACAAACATAATTTAACGGTTTACTCAAACTTGTAGTTAGAATACGCAGTGCTAGATCATCGAGGTTACGCGGTTCGTAAAATAAAGTGGCCGACACAAGACATCCCAGAGTTATTTTTAGAAAAGTTATTTATAGAAAGTTCAGCTGGCCACATTTACTTCATTTGATTCTCTGGTGAAGATTTTTCTGCCTTTTCTCTTTTTTTTGTGTCTTGTGAAATTGGAAACAAATAAAAATAAATGAATGTCAGTCAAAGGTTAAAGGTCATTCCTTGTCTTTTGGGCGTTGAACTTTTACTACAGAAATCTGCTTTTGTTCTTTTCAGAAACTCTTTTTCACTTTGTTGTTTTTTATTTTTATTATTATTTGCGTTTTTATTACCACTTCTATCACTACTCTTACTGCTCTTGTGAGCTTCATGCTACAAGAACGAACTAGTACTACTACTACCACTACTACTACTACTACTACTACTACTACTACTACTACTACTACTACTACTACTACTACTACTACTACTACTACTACTACTAATGCTACTACTACCACGATAAGATGGTGGCAATGAATAATAAGGTGACCGCATATTTTTCTAAATCCATGTTCACATTATTATTATCATCACCATTAAAATTATAATCACTGTATCATCGTCGTTGTCATCGTCGTCGTCACGACTATCGACTCCATCAGAGATGGGATGGAATGCATTTGATTGTGTTGTGTAAATATTTAATTAGGCAATGCACCGTCTGCTTTCTCTCTCTTTCTCATTCTGTCTCTCTCTTTTCTCTCTCTGTCTCTCTCTCTCTCTTCTCGAATACATTAATATTGAAATTTATTGCATTGTACTGTGTTGTTTTGTATTGTATTGTATTGGATACAAAGATATTGTATAAATAACTTGCGATTCTTGATATTGCATTGTAGTGTACATAATGGTTTTGTTTTGTATTGTGATACGTTGTATTGTATTGTAATATGTACTATTGTATTGTAATGTGTTGCACTGTATTGTATTCTGTTGTATTGTATTACATTGTTGTTTAATTGGATTGGTATATTTTTGCATCACATGTGTTTCTTCAATTTTGCATTAATTTAAAGAAAAAATGTTTTTGGAAAATAAAATCTAATCAAATTGTTAATGATGACGATGACGATGATGATGATAAATAGATGATGATGACGACGATGATGATGACAGTGATTGTAGGACATAATAACTATAAAGATTGTTGTGATGATGACGACGACGATGATGAAAATAATTCAATCTTCTTTGCATTAAAGTAAACAACGAATAAAATGCACGGTTCCTTAGAATGTTAATTTTTCTTTCAATATTTTCAATTTATTTATTTTTTCTTTTTAAGTTCGGTCAAAATATTTTTTCAAAGTTTTATAAGTAGTAATAGTAATAGTAGCAGATTTAGCAGCAGCAGCAGCAGTATTAGTAATAGTAGTAACAGTAGTAGTAGCAGTAGTAGTAGCAGTATTAGTAGTAGTAGCTGCAACCAGAAAAGTTTAAATAGTCATAGTCTATGTAGTCTTTGAAAAAATTGCTATTATTGAAGTGTTTCTTGTGTTGTTATTGTTGTGGTCGCTGATGTAATAGTTG